TTATGTCCTCTTGTCTGTTGATGAAGGTCGTGATGGTAAACAAGTATGGTCAGTTTCAAAGCAATACCTCCAATGGTTTTGAAATAAAGTGAGGTGGTACAAAAAACTTAACCAAGCTCAATACACTTTCTAAGTCAAAAAAGGGCCATAATTCTGTCAAAAACCTTGACAGAGTTATGTACTCTTGTCTGTAGATGGAGGTTATGATGGTGAACAAGTATGGTAAGTTTCAAAGCCATACTTGTAATACTTCTGAAATAAAGTGGGGTGGTACGAAAAACTTAACCAAGGTGTGACGCCAACGCCGACGCCGACGCCGGGGCGAGTAGGATAGCTCCCCTTTTCATAGAAAAGTCGAGCTAAAAATTATAGCACATTTTGTATTAATTTATTATGACTTTCTTGCCATCAGTAAAATTGCATCATTTTCATTTTTAGAATTAATACGCCTACCTTGAATGTTGGTCATGACTAAAATAAAACACTGAGAGAAAGACTGAAGTTTGATCTTATATTACAAAACATTTAAGCCAGAACCTTTCAATAATTATTGACAATGGTAGAACAGATGGTTGTCCATTATTACGACCTTCTAGCAAACAGTGAAAGTAAATAATTACATTGAAGTTTGCCGAGAGGTTGTAGAAAGACCTATTCTATGATAGATAATCAACATTACATTATTTGTCTTCAATAGTTATATAAAATGAGAATGAATAACATTTCTCAGATTTGTAATATTTCTTCAGACAGCAGATTCTATCTCCTCAAAAACCATTTAAATAACAAACGGAAGCAAATAAATAATATTATAAATGGTGCTGAAAATATGCAATCAGACTGGAGCTTGTACTTTAAGTGAATCAACAGGCACCACAAATACATTGTAATTTATGTCTCTCAGACTGGCTGTTGGCGTATGTTACAGACTGCTGTATAAAAGTATTATAACATTATTGAACACCACAAGTATCATAAATTATTGTTAATCATATGTGACACCATTTCAGTCATAGACATCTGTTATTTATCAAACCTCATTGCCTGTAAATTTCCCTGAAGAAAAAGCCAGTTTCTAAAAGCAGACACAACAAAAACCACTTCCATATCTAAAACCATTATAAATTGTCAATATATATTATTATTATGTGAAAAATTTAAATTAATAATTTTATTATTGACCAGATAATATATCACAATAGTATATGCCTCAGTAAAGGAAAATATTTTCAAGACATGAAAATCAAACATAAACAAACGTTATAAGCACAAAACTATTGTAACTTGTACTGAGATTTAACAGTGTTATAATGAATCTTTGAAATATATTCAGCAAGAACAGAAGGAATCATTCTATAAACATACTTTCACAGTAAATTATGTTCTGGTATTTTAACAAAATGTCTTCTGCTATTCTAACACACAAACATTGCTGGTGGGGAAAAGGATGTTTGAAAAACACAGAAGCAGCTTAATGATCCCTGGTATTTAAATGTTGAATTACTAAGTAGTCTATCTCTCTATCTACTTTGGATAGTATTTATACTAAAATAAGTGGTATAAAATCATACTGATTGCCTCTACTTTAAGGTGGTTCTAAAAGCTTTTAACAAACAAGAGAAAAAAAGGTTACCTAACTAAGTGTGATCTTTAAGATTTACCAGAATGATTTATTTCCAAGATTCAATCTTCCAGCTGTAATCCAGTGTGGTTACTTCCCTTTATACACCATGATCTACATTCAAACATCTGTTGATTTTACAGCAATAAATGACTATAAATCTCATTTTTTTAGTACATTTATATTGTTAAAGAACTCTAATGACCCTGATATCATACACTAAATATCACCACACAACATTGAAATAAAATAAGGTATATAAATAAACATATATTTACCAGAGTTCTATTCCACTTTAAATGTTTCTTATCAGAAAACATACTAAGGACGTCTACTTTGAGGGATTAACGACAACTTAATCAAGGCATAAATTTAACTTCAACTCCTTACCATATATAAGCTGTATTTGAAATTGACTAAGTAAACTTTTACAATATAAAGCACATACCCAAATTGATTATCAACCACTGTCAACTAAAAAATCTATCATGATACAATTATAGTTAGCATTTAAGCCTATTTTAAATCAATGATATGGTAGACATTATGAAAACTTTCCCCGTATCTTTTTCCTTTAATTCCTCAAGTCTGTAATATAATTATTCTGACAAAGATTTGTCTGAACAAAAAAAACCTAAAAAAACAACAAAAAACAGCATTTATACAGGTCTAACTAAAATTAAATGCAGGAAATCAATGCAAATATATGAGAAAGAAACATTGTCTGAAGTATATTTCCTCGTTCTATAATTCCTGTAAATTCCTCCTTAACTTACATTTTACATGATTTTATACAACTTTTTATAGTAATAGATAGAATGCAGACCTAGAGAAAGCAAAAAAATACTTTTAAAACTTTCAAAACAATTTGTTTATAAGTAAATCTGACAGAAAAGCAAACCAGAGATGATCATATATAATTGGTACGAGTTTTCTGTTGTAGCAATGACGTAAATGCTGCACAGAATTCTTGTAACCAATGCCAATAAGTAATTCTTACCAGCTAACTAGCAATTTATTTAATCTGCAAGACAAGGTATATGTTTCTAAATTATTGGTATTTTTTCCAGCTGAAAAAAAATTATAGTCATAAAAAATCAAAATGGTTTGTTACAATAATATATTTCTGTAGTTATATTATTTTTTTTATCACCATGGTGATAAAACTTGTCACAGAAATAGTGAAGGAGTCGAGGCTTCTTTACGATTTTCTTTCCCTGGATTCATTAACAAGGATTTTTGACTGATAACAATTGACAAACTAAATTGAACAAGTTAGGTCACTGTCATGTCAAGCAACACTAATATTGTTTCTTAGAAAAAACATCTCATTTTGACGATTGGGGCATCATCATTTATACAATTTATTTTTTTGTAGAGGGGTACAAGGTGATGCTACATGACACATATCTTATTATAAGCCCTGGGCACTAAAGTTTTGGAGAAAGAAAATTAAAGATTAACTGTATATGTTTATGCAAACTAAGTAATTGGGTGGAGCATTTTTTTTACTCACAATTAAGGGCATGTCATTATATAAACTTATGTAAAAATCCACAAGGCAATGATACATGCCAAAAACCAAAGTTTTGAGCAATGTTGTTTCCCACAAAAAAGATTTTAATAAAAGCTATAATGCTCGTCTATCAATAAAATATGCAGGTTAAAATGGTCATTTTAATAACTCAAGAATTTGATTCCTTCACATTCTGTGGAAAACTGATATCCTTAGAATGTTCACAACTTTTATAAGCAATATCAAAGAGACCCTATGGAAACAGAAGTTTATATGGTCACAGCAGTGTCAAAAAAACTTTTACCATAATAGATGCAGATTAGATGAGAAAAATCCCACATTTGCCAGATCCAAAGTGTCTCTATATCTAGTTACAAGTTTGCTATTTATACCTAATCTTTATCGCATCATAGTAATGCATGCACCAGGTTCAGCCATTTTTTTCAAAACATAACATTTATTTCATTTGCATGATGTTTGCTGATTAGAATTACAAGCTTACAATGTTGCATTCTCATCTAAATTTGATATGAGTAAATGTTTTATTTGTTCTATAGAGTTTGTGACCTTGAATTGTAAAATTGAAACTGTTTTTGCATTAATAAAATGGTAACAGTTGCAACAGGAAATTATTATATCCTCCAGTGTACATTCACAGTTCTTGGTTGATTGTTCAAAAACAGTGTTTTTCTCAAACAGCAAACGCATTCAAGTATTTTGAATCTAGGGAAATTGTATATATAGGCTAATTTTTCTGTACTGCTATAAATTATTGTGTAATTTTGTAAAGAAACTAAATTTGTTTATTAGGCCAAGGTAAAACTATAAACATATCTAGTTCAACATATATAATAATAATAATAATAATTAAGACAAGTGTGTTGATGATATTATAGCAATAAATTAACTGTTTAGGTCAACATTGCAGGACAAAGTGACAATTACCTGACACTGTGACGTCAATACCATCTTTAGACAGCTAAATTACATTAAAGCAATCTTTTTTATTTGGTGTTATAAAAGCCTTAAGATTATCTCTAAACTTGATATCTTGACTGAAGGCAATTCTTACCAAACATTTTGTTAAAGATATTCAACAATTACCATACAAAAATTCTCAAAGGGATACAAGTATAATCAATTTCTCTCTAGACATGTCAACTTTCTGAAAAAATATACTGCTTTATCCTTTTATATGAACAAAAAATCAAATTTAACACACTGACATCCACATAAAAAAACATACAAAAATCATAAAGAATGCTGCTCCAGGTTGAAGAAATACCACAAATCTGTATGCATCAACAGTATTATGCAGTTTTTATTGGTGCAATTGAGAGACTACACAAATAAAGTATTTAATATACTTATTTAAATCACTGTTAAAAATTTGCCCAGGTGCTGGAAGAATATAATTACTGTATGTTAATGGACAGAGTATTTCTGCTTCCTCTAAAACTTCATTCAATTAGAATGTATACAACTTTTACACTTTTAGTCTACAGTTATACAAATGCACTTTACTGGCTTTGGCTACTCAAAAAAAAAAATAATTAATTCTGTACAGTATAAGTCTTCTTTACAGAAACTCTTTTATTTGATTCAGCTTACAACACACATCTTTCCTCATTTTATATACATTCTATGTACTCTCATCATTTGCTAGCAGTTGTTCAAGGAGGTCTTTGAAAAAAATCATGCCATTTTTAGTTAATACAATAAGACCAGGATGAAAAATTGCTGGGATGAAATAAATTTGCTTCCTAATAACACACAAGTATCAGGAAATCCATCACTGTGGCATATCAAATAAGATGCTAGAGCCTAAGATTAGCTAAAAAGGTAAACAAATCTATTACTCACTGTTGAGACAGTCTCGGGTGTTGAATTAATTTCTTGATAAAATCATCGAGGCCTTCCCTCCGCTGCTGAATAAATTCAGGATCCAAGTTCCCAAATATTTTCTTTCCCGGCAATCGCAGATTTGCCTCGGGACATATACGTTTGACCTTAAAATAGATATAAATAAAATATTTAAGTTAATTTACATTAATTTTGACCTTAAAATAGATATAAATAAAATACTTTTCAGTTCACAAAACTAACATTCCAAATTTCTTTAAAATCCAAGTTAACAGAGAACCTTCTACCTATAGACATAACAACTGAAAACAGCTATAGAAAACTTTGTTCAGCCAGCATCCTGAATGTTAGTTCTTGATAAGCCAAGCCTACAGAGACTTCTGGTTTCAATTAATAACAAAATACAGATTCAGCAAAAATATCGAAATAGTCCATTCAGCAAAAACTTACCTCGAAAAATAAATTTTAGATCTAGTCTAAAAATTTCAAATACTCAGTAGAATATTGGTATCAATGCATTAAGAAATCATAATTATTCATATAAGTTTCATATCAATTTAATTTTTTGTTTCTGAACAATTCTAATTGCCTTTTTGACAATATTAACATAGTTATATGATATGATAAAACATGAACAATCTCAGACCTCAAACCAATGAAAGTTAACACAATAACACAACTGTTATAATGAAAGATCAATTGCTGTCAACACTTAGACGATATGCAATATCATTTCAAGGAAAATCATGACAAAATAAAAATAATTATGTTATTTTTAATGTCATTCTAATTATAGAATAACAAACAAAGAATAAAGTCTCTGTTATTGTGACTACAGGTTTTGTAAATTAGGTAAGCATGTAAATTTCACCTGAATTTCTGATAATCTACAGCGCTTCTGTAAATGACTACAAACGATCAACTGTTACCTAACGGGAATTAAAAAACTTTTTTAAAAACAAGTCACTTTACAAATTTGCGGTTTTTATTGCGGACCATGTATCCTGTTATAAACTTCATAGGCCCCAACGTAAAATCCGGACCATCCAATCAAAACATCTTGCAATGCATAAAATATTTAATGAATTCAGACAAAACAAAGACCCTATACATTCAGGTGCATTTGTTATTTATCCTAATTAGTATGAACAGAGTAATTAACTATGTCAAAGTGGATGACATAAAACTTTCTTTATGGAAAGTGTATAAACTTAACTATATTCATTTCAAAATCTTTACAGAACAGATAAATACGTTAAGGGCTTGACCTCAATGAAGGACATCATTAAATCATACGTATGTAACATTTAAGACTGTCAGAATTTCCATGTATCCATCATCTAACTGCTGCATTGTTCATTTCCAACAACATAATAAAAGGTCCCATTATTTTCTATTTGAGGTATTTCATGCACACAAGTGCATTGTTAAACAAGTGTTAATCAGATGCGTGAAAAAAAGAGTAGCTTGCAACATTTCTTCATCATAATCAGACAATCAAAAGGCTTTCTGGCAAAGAAATCATCAAAATAAAAAATACATTTATGACGAAAATACTTGCAAAACAAGTGATTGAACTGGTCGGATTATCTTCGAATGTTCTTTAAAAGATTTAATGATGTAGATGCAACATGGAATTTCATCATTACATAACTCTAAACTCTGACTAGATGATAGTAAGTGCAATAGTTGATCTGTTTTTAAATGATGCTCTAAATCACCCATCATCTTTACTGTCTTTTTTATGACATGCCTCGACTGTTTAACAAGTCCTGTCAAGTCAGCATGGGTACTTGTGCAATGGCCTTGGACTGGTATATCCATACTTGACCTTTTGATTTTATGCATGTATATAAAATGCAATTAATGCTATTTAATGAGTTTTGCTCTAAGTAAATTCAAAGATGCCATGAAAACAGCTCAAAAAATAGGAGGCAATATCCACATTCAAGAAAGTAGTGATAGGGAATGCCTGATGACAATGCATTTTGTGTACATCCGATGACATTGCTAGTTAATACAAAAGAAAAGACAGTGCCAAAGTTTAGTAACATAATTGAACAAAACTGTGCAAAATATTAGGGGGTATACTTTCTTTAATAAAATACTGTCAACCAACTGTGCTTGTAGAAATTGAAAGACTAAAAGTAAAAGTGATCTTGTATCTGGTTGAATTAAATTCAAAACTGAGAATGACCTCCCATTTTACCCTTATTTGATTATATACCATACACTTAACAAGACAACACAAATAATAATTATATCAAGGTACGATCTGTGTACATGTGTGATTTTAGTAGCAACTTGTTTTGGGGCAAACAGTTTTGCCTCGGCGAAGAACTGCAGACACACAATTAAAGCAAGGTTGCCACAACATATGACTCAAATGAGATGTCAGTTGCCGTGTGTTGGCAAAGAATGTATAATCCCCAAGTCATATAAGACAAAATGATGTACATCAACTTTCAAACAAATATTGTGATACATCAATCAGTCACACTTTGTCAAAGACTGCCATATTCAACACTGTCCTGTGATTCAGTGTGATCAAACCTTAAGGCATTAACTAAAATGTACAAGATAGTTAAAGATGTTGCAATTCAATGATGATGATGATAAATCTAAAGATGATTTGTTACTTTTTACGGACTTAATTTAATGACATATATCAATTTATCATCATTTTTTATCAATTAATAAAAACACCCAGTCTGAATTATTTCAATCTTATCTAAATAAATTCAAATCTTTTGTAGAGTCTTAAACAAACACTTGCTAATTACACTTTTGAGCAGGTTGTTTTAAAACAATGGTTCTTCTGTTTATAATGTTACAAAGATCCCACATTCCTTTCAGCTTGGCCAGCAATAACTTGAGGTTTACTTTGTTAAGTTTGTATGATAAATTTGGAACTTTCTATTATTAAACATGAGATATTTTGTTGACAGTCTGGTAAAAATACACAGGAAGTACATGTACACAGAATGTCCACTGTAAGTACACAAAATGTCCACAGAAAGTACACAGAATGTCCAAAGAAAGTACACAGAATTTGAACAGAAAGTTTACAGAATGTGCACAGAAAATACACAGAATGTGCACAGAAAATACACAGACTGTCTGCAGAAAGTACACAGAATGTCCACAGAAAATACACAGAATGTCCACAGAAAGTACACAGAATATACAAAGAATGTTCACTGAAAGTACACAAAATGTTTACAGAAAGTACACAGAATATCCACTGAAAGTACACAAAATGTTCATAGAAAGTACACAGAATACACAAATGTCCACAGAAAACACACAGAATGTCCACAGAAAGTTCACAAAATGTCCACAGAAAGAACAAGCAATTATCATAGTATTGCAAGCAATCCATAAGTCCCCTACCGGTAAGAGCCCAAGCAACATTCTGAAGGGCCATTGGCCATTCACTTATGTTCCTATTTTAAGTAAATTTGTTGAAAAAGTTCTTTAAAAGTGATCACAGGAAACAGTTTTTATGTACAGACAGACGGACTGAAGGACACTCTAAAGTTATTTTTTAAACATCCCTGTTATCAAAATATAACATTTTTAAAATCCTATCATGATTGAAGAAGTTGGAGTAAAAATTACCAATTTCTCAAAAAAAAAATCCAAGTTCAAAAGGGGCATAATTCTGGAAATAGTCTTGCTAGAGTATTGAACACTCACAAATGTTGAGTGATAATAAGAAACATTTATATGAAGTTTGAAGTAGATACATTCAGAAAAAGAAGTTATTAAAAAAAAAAAAGTGTTTTTTCATGAAAATTTTAAGTTCAAGGGAGGTAATTCTGATAAATTTTGTGCTAGAGTTGTAAACCTTGTCACATATGATGTGGTTGATTACAAGCAACTTATATTTAAATTTTGAAGAAAATACCTTAAGAAATAAAGAACTTATAGTGAAAAAACTTAAAAACTAGAATCAGAAATCTTGAAATTCAGTCTATTTGTTGCCATAGCAACCAGAATTTTCAACATAGGAAGATAAGAAAAGGATGTGCATAATTTCCATACTGCCATATACCCATATGTCAAGTTTCATAAACATATTTTCAGTACTTTTTGTGTTATCACTGGATCCAGGTTATGTGTAAAATTTGCCATATTTTCAGTCTATTTGTTGCCATAGCAACCAGAATTTTCAACATAGGAAGAAAAGAAAAAGACGTGCATAATCTCCATACTGCCATCTATCCATATATCAAGTTTCATAAAAATATTTTCAGCACTTTTTGCGTTATTGCGGGATCCAGGTTATGTGTAAAATTTGCCATATTTTCAGTCTATTTGTTGCCATAGCAACCAGAATTTTCAACATAGGAAGAAAAGAAAAAGACGTGCATAATCTCCATACTGCCATCTATCCATATATCAAGTTTCATTAAAATATTTTCAGTACTTTTTGTGTTATTGCGGGATCCAGTTTTGTGGACGGACGGACTGACGGACGGACGGACGGACGGACGGACGGAGGGTAAACCTAAAGTCCCCTCCGGTAAACCGGTAGGGGACTAACAAGCTGACCTGGCTCAAATCGTTATCACATTTAAATGTTTAATAGTATTATATGAAATTTTCATGAAATAAAACTCTTTAATAAATATTCAATAATTCATAAATTGAAAAAAATTAGATATTTCAACACATTTCTATGATTAGTTGGTGTTTCAACATTAAAAGACTTTATTTCTGACAAGTAAGACAAATCATATAATATGACAATTTTCTAGCTTAATTGCTGACCAATAGACTCCTAGAAGTGCTTCCTTGCATTATTTTAGTCACAAAAAGACAGATAATTAACTACAATGTATCAACCAACCATCAACTAGATGTATCCATAAACTAGTTTAGGACAATTTCCTTCCATTAGATAATTTATCATACCTAGAGGGATTCAAACTGCTGGTTTGTTCCCTGGTTAAATAACTTGATCAACACTTGGCTGTCAACAAAATTATCATCAAATTCAGCAGTAATTACCAATGCATATAATATAATCTGGAAACTTTAATTGTATCAAATTTTCAAAAAACCTTATGATGAAAATAGAGGCAGATTAACTTTGTCATGCGGTGGATGAAACTAAGATTTCTTATTGCCAGTTTCACAG